ACGGATTAACCGTAATTACATTGAACCTTATGGGGAAATTTGATTCGGGTCGTGACCAATTCGGGTCGCAACCAGAGTTGCGGAACGAATTAAGTTCGTGACCCGAGGTACCACTGTACTTCTCAGATTAAAAATCTTATCCTCCAGAATCAGAGGATCAGACATATAATCTACACATTATTTACAGTATTCTCTTAATGTATTGTTCACTTTTTTTATTTTGTTCCTTTGAGTCAGTTGTGACTCCTGCAGTTTTGCTGGCAAGATTTTTGGAAGCGGCTTGCCCTTGCCTGCTTCCTAGGGCTGAGAGAGAGAGAATGACAGGCCCAAGGTCACCCAGCTGGCTTCATGCCTAAGGCAGAACTAGAACTCCTGGTCTTCCGGTTACTAGCCTGATGCCTTAACCACTACATCAAACTAGGTCTCTTTTTTACTATTTATAGCTTTTTTCCCTTATTGGTCTAATTGTGTAACCAGATATTTTTACAGTTCTATAGACATCTCTTGATCAAAAATTGGGTATGAAATGTCCTATAGTACTTTAAGTTGTTAATGGTGTATTAGAATATATTAGTCATATGATATCTTCAATTTGCTGGTTAATTGTGATTGGTTGGCTATCCACTTATATTCTACAGTATTGCTTATACTGTTTTCCTTATATTTTCTGCATTCCTTTCAATGTGTATTTGTAACAGTCTTATTCTTTTTGTTCTGTTCTTGAAATAATAATAATAATTGAATTTTAAAAAATCTTATCCTCCATGAATATGCATATTCTTTTTTAAAACCCTCCATCATTACATCTGAAGTAGCAAATTTTGTCTTCATGTACAAGTATACATGAAGACAAAAATTGCTGCTATAGAATTTCCTACAAATATATAATGATGATGTTGGTTGTCCCCTTCTCTAGCTTTTTCAACTCTGCAATACCCATCTTGATGGATAGTGATTAGAACTGTATTGATACAGAGCGGCTCAGATGTGCTGGCTCTCTGTACACATGTATTTGGATGCTTTGTCTCTTTCTTGACATTATTCGGAAACCTTGACTGCCTGGATGGGGAAAAACAGATGAACTGCCAAGAACAAAAGGCTTTTGTTGCTTTTGTCCAGGTATCTCCATGCACTTCCATGCATAACTGAAGAGAGCTGCCTACACATCTCCACTTCCTTCACTTAGATAAATTCTTGCAAGAAGTAGCAAAATCAAAATGGCTTTTTCAAATAATTGCTTATTTATTTATTTAGCCCATTTCATGGCAATGACTCTGGGCAGCGTACAATGATTAAAACTAACCCAAACAACTACAACAACAATCCAAAGAACAAATATTTGAGGTCACACAAATCATGATATTTACAGGAAAAAAAAACAATAAAAACAATTAACTGGAAAACTGCCTTAATCTCCCAGCCCAAATGCCTGGGGAGCCAGGTCTTTAAAGTCTTACAAAGGGCGAAATGAAACCACCTTGCAAATAAATGCAAAACGGTGAATATTTGAACTAGCCAAGCTAACCCCCAAATAACCTAGTCATAAAACCTATTTGTTGCATTTATATGTTGAACCTATTTTTGTTAACAGTTAATGCTAAGCATTTATTTGCATGGTTCCAGTACTTTATTACTTATTCCATCTGTATTTTAGTATAGATACTATTCAGACAATATAATGTTCCTTCCCCCACCCCCGACCTTTCAATGTCCAACATTGGATATAATCTAGATATCATCACTGGTGATGACTGCTAATGATCTGCTCCCAAATGACAGTTATTACAAGCCTATGCACATTTTAAAGAATGTGAGTAGATAGGTACATGGGTCTCAGCACTAAGAATTTGGCCTGTAGAAATCCAAATCAGTCAGAAATAAAGTAAAATATTCTCTGAATCATCAAATTGGGATCAAACCTAAATTTAGAGTCTATGCGTGACCCACAGGGTGGAATTTTAAGTGCTGTTTTAAGTGTTCTATGGCCATATCTGTAATATTTGCTTCCCAATGAAAGAATATTCCACATTTAGGAATGATGCAATACATGTGTTTTTCAGGGAATAAAACTGTGGCATACGTGCACAATTTTTGGATTTACAAATAAAGTAAGCCTTCATTACTATGCTTGAATTAGAAGTGATGACATGAAAACACTTCCTTAGTGCTCACCTTTCCATGCATCAATAACCGGATGGTGAGAGTTACATTCAGACCACCTTCAGAGACTTTAGATTCCATCTTTTGTTGGGGAATGCTGGATGATGTAGAAAGTTTGGAGACCCAAAGAAATAAAGAAGTATCTCCACAGGAGATCACCTGTAAGAGAAAAAACAAATGCCCTTTTTGTTTTACCTGTCAGAAACCTGTGAGGCAGACTGGGAAAGAATAAGGGGCCAAAAAAGATTGCCACCCAGAAAAGACACAACCTTAGATCTGTCCTAGACATGATTTTGGGAATGGCTGAGATCTTATTCAAAAATATTGTACAAAACTGCATACATTAACAGCAGTTACGAAAGGTATGGCTGGGGAAGTTCTGCTACCAGGCAGAAAAAGAATCACTTTGTCCAGTTGTGTCTACCAAGATGTAACGTGTAAAATAAAGGATAATAAGAAATAAATAAAATAATATTCGCTGCCACTCAGCAAGCCAGCTGCTGGTCTGTGCATCTACTGCAGCTTCCAGTCTCAGTGCAAAGGCAGAGTTCTTTACAGCAATCTAAACATGAGGTTATCAGCATGTGAACAACTCCAGCTAGGCTGTCCCTGTTCAGGGAGGTACACCAGTAAAAACTCCTAACCATGGAGGCCACTTGGCCCTGCAATGACAGTAATAGTTCTAGGGGTACTTCCAATGTATCTGTTTTTTCTCAGGAGGTGCTACCCTATTTTTTTATTTATATTTTTTGTGCCTTCGAGTCTGCGTTGGCTCCTGACGACTGCCTGGACTAGTCCCTACAATTTTCTTGGCAAGTTTTTCAGAAGTGGTTTGCCCTTGCCTCCTTCCTAGGGCTGAGAGAGAGGGACTGGTCCATGGTCACCCAGCTGGCTTTGTGCCTGAGGCGGCACTAGAACTCACGGTCTACCAGTTTCTAGCCTGAGGCCTTAACCGCTACACCAAACCGGCTTGCTACTCTATTTAGAGCAGGTAAATTCTACCTACCACCCCACCCACCCACAAGGATTATTAGTCCTCAGCTGTCATTTCATTGCATCCAGACATTAGCTCAGGGCATGGACTTTATTCCTGTTACGGCATTTATGACTGCTGGCACTTACGATCAACCCCCATGGTAATAGTCCCAAGTGGTTTCATATAAATGATATATAGCATTGGTGACAAAAGAGTGCCTTGTGTCATTTGACTGTGTAGCTGCCACAGTCACCCAGTGCCACACTGAGGCTGACAGTCTAGAACAGGGACAGATGTCCCTCCAATATCATTTAATTTCTCACATGTGAAAGCACTATATACTGTAGATTCTTCATCAAAAGAGGAAGGCTCTATAATCAAGAGATAAGGTTATAACGGTTCTTATCCTCAATTGTTTTTTGTTGCAAAGCTCAGAATTCAGAAAGCAGAAGGAGCTATAAGTAATTAATAGTAGAGTTTATTTTGATGAAAGGTGCCCCCAACTCTGGGAATTGCTGACATGGGCTATGGTAGCCCTTTCTGTCTGTCTGGAAAATGCAAAGCATGAGAATCAAGCTGTTATGTAAATATTTCCAATTGATTGAAAAAGTGGGTCATGTGTTAGCCAAATGCTCCTGGCTTGAAGATTTATCAGTGCTATTAAATTATACACGGTTTATGCTCCAGCGTGCAGGAAAGCTACATTAGCCTTTTCTTCATTGTGCTGGTGAAAGATAAGCATTTTCTTCAGAATCTCGACGGACACATAAGCTATAATACAGAAAACAGTTTTTACTTTTTATTTATGTATCCATCAATATGTTGATGATTCCCTGTAGACAAAAGGTTGAAAATCATTTTTAGAAAGTATTATTTGGTTACTAACATTTTCTGCTCTAGTTTAAACATTTACAGTTTTTATTCTTTGTATACTTCATTGTCTTATGCTTAATTTTAAAGAAATCATGAAATGAATTACTATGCTTTTATTACAAAATCCTGATGGTTTGACTACTGTATGCATGTGCCAGGAAATATGTCCTGGGATAACAGACATACTGGATAATCAAACATAGTTTGATTTTCTTCCATCCCTCTTTAAATTAGAGTCTTCTTAATTTCTGTTTGTCTATTTCAGTTAATTAGACCACCGCAGAAAGCTCAAGCATCAACAAGGAAACAAGGAGAACAAGGAACATCCAAAATTCACACTTCCAGGAGTACACGTTTTGTACATAATTTGTACATCTATGCTATACCTTTAAAATCCTACTAAGTCTGACTAATTTAAACATCTACTAAACCATTTAGCTGTTTTTAATGCAGGCAACAGAATAGAAGTTGGACATTCTATTTCAAAAGGTATTCTGATAAAAGGTAAAAGATATATAATTCAGTCTTGTCTGGCATGCTTATGAATATGGTCATAATAAAGAACGTTTCTAGTTAAGATGGCATCATAGCTGGACAAGAATCAGCTTTCTCCATCACCTCCTGTGATATTTTTATAACTTTAATTGCAATTAAAGGAACTGATGATTATTTTATGTTTTGATTTTTTCAGAGAGAGTCTGTAATTATAAATTAAATCAAATTGGATGTGGCTGTGAATAGAACATCTCAGCTGGAATATCATGGGAAGCCAGTGGACATATCTTTATTCCGGAAAAAATAAGGTCCCTGGAATTTTACTCTTCTGTAACTAATTTTTGTGTGACTGGAATTATGGCAGTCGAGGCAAAAGTCCAGCACGTGTTCTTTATGGTACTTTAACACAAAAACTCAGTTTGAGAGCCAATTTGGTGTAGTGGTGAAGGCACCAGGCTAGAAACTGGGAGATCAGGAGTTCTAGTTCCGCCTTAAGCACAAAACCAGCTGGGAGACTTGGGCCAGTCATTTTCTCTCAGCCCTAGGAAGGAGGCAAGGGCAAACCACATCTGAAAATCCTTGCCAAGAAAACTGCAGCAATTTGTCCAGGCAGTCTCCAAGAATTGGACATGATTAAATGGATACAAAACAAAACAAAACAAAACACCACAAAAACAATTGTCTTTGCCTGAAGATTATCAGTAGATTTAAGATGTCTCATGAAGTTCCAGCTTCTCATTTATATATTGGTAAGTCATTCTCAGGCATTTACTGAGAATTTCCTTGGACTTTACTTGAGAAATGACATTTTACTGAAAGCCCACTTGGGCTTTATTTCAATAGGGAAATAAAAATACTCAAAAGATTCATTCCTTAGAGTATACCAAGGAAGTTCAAAATGTAGAAAGAAGTTTAACTGTTGAAGAAAAAAATCTTCAATAGTTCATCAACATTCCAGCTATTTTTGTTCTACATCTGTCAAATGATACTTTGAAAACATTTCCTAATTAGGTGGAAGATGAAAAATATCTTACCTCTTTAAAATTCTATTGAAGTTATTTTGGAGGAAGATTTTTTAAAATCATGTTCTTGTGGCTTATTCTGGCTTATTTGCATCCAGGCTGCTAAACAATTTTTATACCTAGTTCCTAACTAAATACTTGCTTGTGGCAGCTGAATGTTTGTGGCTAGGCAAAAAGATTACTACTATAATTGCAATTTCTTTTGCAACCGCACTTTCTTTCTCCCCATTTCTTCCCCATTCCTTGCTCTTTATTGCTTTTGTTCTAAACTTGCCTTCATTCAAGAGTTATATACTTTAATAAATTAATCAGTAGGACTTTCTGCTTTTCTTCCTCTCATTGATTCATGTATCAGTACCATTAATAATTACCCAATTCATTTATGTATAGGGGTATCAAAGATGCACTACACAATCTTTGATTACTGCTGATTAGCATGCTTAGATTTTATTTTTAATTTTAACTATATTTAAATTTTCTTATCCTATTGTTCTCTCTTGTTGGGGGGGGGTGATGTTTTGCTAGAGCATGAATGGATATATATTTCTTTCTTCTTGCTCATTGTTTTAAAATTGATAATACTCAGTGACAATTTCCTTTGTAATCTTGGAAAAGCTTGAGGTTTCAAACTATGTGTAGACAAGTGTTAGCAAAAACACAAAGACCAATTGGAAATGAAATTGTATTTTTGCAAGAGACTCATATTCTCCTTAAAGATAAACAATCTTTACAGAAAGCCAACATGAGAACAATCTATGTAAATGGTAATTATTAAACATGCAACAGCACTTTCAGCTTTGATTAGAAAAAAACATTGATTGTTGAAGAAATATCAGATGCAGAAGGTAATTTTTTAAATAATTGTCACAATGGATGATCAATATCTACCACTTCTGAATTTATGTTGCCTCAACAGATTCTATACAACAAATATGTAATTATTTTTAGTATCTGTATATTGACTATATGTATTAGTGAGATGATTTGAATCAGACATTGAATTCCTTTTCATACAGTAACATGCCACCACCTGTATTCTGTTCTCAGATTCATAATATAGATTACGTGTGTAGATTTAATGTAATGGATATTTAATGTTCTATTAATTTGTTTCATTTTCTGATGATGAACAACAGTTCTTCCTTAACACTGAGCATTTGCAAAATTTTTCCTATTCCAATAAATGTTATGAAGTATTATATCGTCTGCATATAAATCTTTAGGGGGTAATTTGTTAGGCAAAATGGGGTGGGGGGAGGAGTTAATTTGATAAGACTTTTGACATGCAAGTTTAAATAACTATTAAATAACAAGGGGACAAAATACAGTTTGCTTTACAATAGTTGCTCCTGATGAATGTACTGTCCTTATACCTTAGGGAAGATATCCATATCCATTTTGGATAAGCAACAAGCACTCAGTCAAATTCCTTCCAATAGCTAGGACCTTCACAAGTTATATCATTTAAATAATGGAAACTTTTGAGTCACGCTTCTCAAAACGATCCATATATGTTTATTTCCAAGTGAAACTCATGGCAATCTGTTCGGTGTATCTAATTACCCAGACACAGGCTATACATAAACTGTGCCTTCTTTATTTTCATTCTATATTAACCCAAATGGAAGTGAGCTGGCTCCAGATATTGGAAAGAATGAAGAGAAAGGCTCATCAAATGAGTTTAAATATAACTATGAAATGTTAGGTACTGGTTACTAATATGAGCTGCAACTATGAAATAATGAATTCATAAAACAGCATAATAGCATAGAAGAATATGGAATAGAACTTTT